ATTTCTGAACTGACATTACAAAAAGGGAACAAGATAAAGATACATCTGGATTTAAAAAGGATTTTAAAATTTACTATCCTTACACACCTGTTACTACAACACATAGCATTCTTTTCTTTCAGTATAAATCAAGGAATATATGGTTCAATGCCTTGTTAATGGCCACTAATCTGTGCCTATGAGTTTTTTTCCTTGTATCAACCACAACTTTCATGCTATAATTTAATACTGTACCATCTACACCACATTGGGAGCTGTCCATTAGGGCCTGGTGCTGAACCTAATTTAGCAGCTGGTTTCTCTGCAGGCACTCCACTTGAACACAGACGTGTAGAAGCAATGACCCAAACCATTTTTCAGTTTCACCCAAGTTCACATTTGAATTCTGATTTAAGCCCTCTTACATGCAAGAGAAATTGAATGCAACGTCTTTATACTATAACTTTTAAAAGGTACTCTATTCACTACGCCCTTAAAGATAGGCCTTAATCTCTTCTTACTCTACAGTAAACACCCGATTAGCAATTTCCTACAGTACTCTATCACAAAAGATCTAAACAGAAAATACACTGTGGATTGGGACATGGCTATAAAACACGTCTTTTTTTGTTGGGACAAGGAATAAGAGTAAATTCAGGAGAAGACGACCACATTTCTAATTCTTCACTGACAGACTGCAGGGATGCCTCTTCATCCCGGGATTTGCCAGAGATTAGATTCTACTTTGTGGATAAAGACTGACACAATCTGACAACTAAGAAATCCCTCCTGCTTTCCTCTTGTCCCTGTACAGTCCCTCTGTACAGTTTGGTTCAGTACTGGGACTCCACAATTCACTGGAATGAAAATTAAAACGTACAATGAATATAAATGACAAGGCAGGTGGGGTGATAAATCTTCTGCACTCCACTGATTTCCTGTAAATATGGGAGGAAAATGTTTTTGGCATAATAGTGAGCGACATTTATTCCGATGTGAAATTTTTCCTTAGTTTGCCAGTTCACCAAATAAACCTCAGACATTGTTGCATTCAGTGGTGCTGTTGACAGAACCAAAACTATTTACACTGTTGTGTAAATCTGTCATTATCGTGAGAAATAGGGTAAAAATAGGTTTGGAAGCAGGGTTAGATATGGAATTCTTAAGCATTTTTACTTAGGTTCATAACCGTGAAGCCAACAATGAGACAAACATAAAACATTTTCAATGGAAAAAGCTGTTAAAAATGCTATTTAAGAATTACAATACTGGAATTGTGTTTAGTCTGATTGTCCACTACCTTGCTAAAAACTACCCTTTAAAAGCACTGAATCCAAATAGGGCAAACCATACAGTACATATAAAAGTTTGGCAAAAAGAGTAGAATCAAGCCCCAGAACCCCATGAAACTAGCATACTAAAATATGTCCGATATGAACTCAAAACCTTTCAATTCTCTTTATAAATCAGCTAACAAATGGTCAAAAATGAGTGGTATGAGTTTAAAAGTTGACATTCCCCAATTCGTGAAGGTGTATTAGTGATGCATCAAAATATTCTGTTTTTATTTGATTTGGAAAGGACTTTATAAATCCGGTGTAACAGCAATAATAAATTCCAGGGCGAACCGTGTGCCTACGAACACAGACAAGGTGTGGCAATGTACACTTTGCCCTGTAATACAGCTCTCTCTTCTTTACCATTATCTCTAGCTTACAGTAGTAATATCTTAATCACAAAGGCAGCTCAACGTGTCCTGCTTTCTCAACGTAAAGCTGTTGCTCAGGAGTGGGTGCGCCGATTAATAATGTACATCCTTGTCAGACACGTCCACGTTACATCAATGAGTTTCTTTCCCAAGCTTAAATTTAGAAAATGGAAATAAATAAACACATCAACAGAAAAGGTCAAATCCATGAGTGGAGATATACTTATTTTTTAATTATGGTGCTGTTTATATTCCATAAAAGAGGAAATTACATTTACACATTGATTAGGCCGAAACGCGTCACCAAGTCGAAACAAGCAGCTGTATTCAACACAGCACAGCATTAGGTACAGACTCACTCTCAGCCTCCACTGTGCCTCTGTCTTCAGAGCCCCACAGAGTCATCTATCAGTGGATGGGATTCTTTCTCAGGCTGGGATGCACTAGCAAACTGAATGTGCAAATCAAGAGCGTGTGCACCTGAGATCCAACCAATCCTGCACGACTATGTGGAGACATCTAGAGAAATTCCAAACGCTTTCTCGCATGCCTTTTTTTTTAAAAAAAAAACTTCAATTAAAATTATAGATGTCTCATTCTGGAGTAACACTGGATACTCTGTCATCCATGTCCAGTACATGAGTCTCAGCGCTACGATTTATGTTTTCTTTATATTTGTATAAGAGATCAGGACATGAAAGACAATGCTGTGTAAATGGAAGTTTTTTCCCACAGGGTTAGCTTTCACATTGTACTGCAAAGGAAGTGTAAAGGTATTTAAAATGTAAGGTGGAAGCTGGTGTGCTAAAAGTGCTTGAAGCTTATATTTAGTTGAAACAACCCATACCCTTGTACAGTACTGCATTTTTTATTAGTCATTAAAACAATTAGTCACTGTTTATAACTCCTTTCCTTAATTATCGTGTGCTAAGCCCTTCTTTAAAGGAACATCAACATTAGAGCCAGGGAACTTGTGCTTAGAATTCCATTTATTTGTCTTTTGAAAAAGCAAGTTAATATTTTTGCATTGATTTGAGCTTTTTTCTCTTACAAAATATGGTGTTCTTAGCATAACGTCAATGTCTTTTTAGGCATGTCGTACTGAGTTTGTTTGTTTTTCAGTTTACTTAATGTTTTATTTGTAATGAAAATAGACATCTAGTCAAATGGTTATACACTAAATCTGCAGGATTCTTTTTTTTTTTGCAAGGCGTTCTGAAGAGACACACAATAGAACTCGACCCTGAAAAGCATTTTGGCCTTGTTATGTTAGTAAAGTTGCACAGTGATAACCATAATGAGATCCCCTACAGCGTTTTTTAAAATACGACACGTTTGCTTTGCATGGTAGTACGTTACTTTAAAAAGCATCAAAGCCTGTTTTTCATTCATTGCCTTTTTAGCTAGAAGTCACAGTTGCCACGCTGCATTTAGACAGTTTTCAAAGGTGAATCCAGAACCAGCCGTTGTGAGGCACTTTGCCCCGTTCCTCCAAGTCGCACGCTCTGTGAGTTTACACACCAGAAATTTGGTCACGTTATGCTTTTTTTTTTTTTCCTCCGAGAGCAGCATTATTGCTGTGAGCCACCACAGCCCACCGGAAATAAATAAAAAAAAAATAAACGAAAAAAGTGAAGAAATGACTTTGGTTGAAATCAGCGATAGTGCATTTGACCTGCAGTGTTTTGTTTTGTTTTTTTAAAAAAAATGATAATGACTCCCAGCTGGCACCTGTCCCCTGGAGAAAACAGCCCTCTCAAATGATCGCCCAAGCCGTGGAAGGCTTTCGGGCCTTCCTCAAGCTCCTTCCCCCCGTCCTCGAGATAATCCTGCTCGCGCCGCCGGGCGCCGGGCCTCTCTCCTCCCTCACACGTCGGTGTGCTGGCAGCGCTGCTCCCGGCTGAACTGGCTGAAGCTGGCCGCCCGGTGGCGGCGCGGCACGCCCCCGGCCTTCTGCTGGGCGGTCTGGTCCTTCAGGAAGAGGCTCTGGATGAGCTGCAGCTTCTCCTTCTCCTCCTTGAGGAAGACGTCCACCAGCAGGGTCTTCTCTTTCTTGATCTGCTCGCTGATGTCTTTGGGGATGTCGGGGATCATCCAGTCCACCAGCTCGCTCAGGAACATCACCAGGTTCTGCGCAAGAAGACCGACAGGCAAGGTCAGGTCAGATCAGAGGTCTTAGCCTGCCTTTTCCCCATTACGTTTTTGATTTTTTCCCTACGGTACAGTTCATAGTAGGTGTCTGACTCATGGTGGCTTGACATGCAATAAAAGAGCTGTGATGCCCTGAATCTCTCTCCAGAGTTGAGTGGCATGGGCAGGGTGAATCGAGACACCATCCTATCTCAAGATCATGTCCTCCCCGGGGCGATGAAGTCTGGCCCAGGGCAGGGGTTGGCAACCCTGCTCCTCAACCACGAGGTTCCTGCGGGTTTTAGGGACCCCTTTCAATTAGCATCTCATGTAGACCCGTTAAACCCCACCGCTGTGACTTCCTCTCCTATTAGTCGGGTCAATCAAAGTCATCAAAAGTCAGAGACGGCACGAACACCTGTCACCACGGAGGCTTCGGCGGGCAGAAGACCTCTCATGTCTGGAAGATAACGGGCAGAATCGACTAATCGACTCCGTCACCCGCGCCAGGCCAGAAAACAAATGGGTGGAGATCTCCCTCCTGCTCCTCCTGCCCCTGACTGACGCTCATCTGACTGCAGATTCCTGATGTTTTTCGCCAACTGACTGCGTCGTCTGCGGTGTCTTCTAAATAATACACTCACATCTACCGTTCGCACAATGGAGCGCGTTCAAATACTGCACTGAGAAATGGTGAGGAAAACTGCCCACTCCTCAGATATATCCAAGTGTGCCAAGAGGTACTGCCCCCATTTGGAAACATTCAGTTCCCCCAAAGTTAGACTTTACCTGAAACAGAATAACGAAAGCCAGGCGTGCAGCAAGGACCGACCAATACTGTTTGGAGAAGTCATATGCGTTTGGAGACCACGGAGGCTCTCTGTAATCCTTATACCTGCAATGGACAAGAAGATAATTAATAATAATTGCTTAGACTTCCATAGCGCTTTTCTGGATACTTCACTCAAAGTGCTTCACAGGTAATGGGGACTCCCCTCCACCACCACCAATGTGGATGATGCAACGGCAGCCATAGTGCGCCAGAACGCTCACCACACATCAGCTCTCAGTGGGGAGGAGAGCAGAGTAATGAAGCCAATTCATAGATGGGGGTTATTAGGAGGCCATGATTGGTAAGGGGCAATGGGAAATTTGGCCAGGACGCCGGGGTTATACCCCTACTCTTTTCGAGACATGCCCTGGGATTCACCACAGAGAGTCAAGACCTCGGTTTTATGTCTCATCTGAAGGACGGCGCCTGTTTACAGTATAGTGTCCCCGTCACTATACCGGGGCATTAGGACCCAGATGGACCCCAGGGTGGCCCCACTAACACCTCTTCCAGCAGCAACCTTAGTTTTTCCCAGGAGGTCTCACATCCAGGTACTGGCCAGGCTCACATCTGCTTAGCTTCAGTGGGTTGCCAGTTGTGAGTTGCAGGGTGATATGGCTGCTGGCTAAAGATGGTTATATTCTACAGAGCAGGAGCCCTGGAAGTTACTAGACAGGTGAGGCATGTTTACCAAGTCTTTACGTTAATCACTGCTTACAAAAACTATGATATATGCTAAGTAAACAGGTTTGGTCTAGTGTATTTTTTCAATGACCCGTCAATGTACAGTAGGAAAGCTGATCCTTACTACAAGCAAACTGACGTCAAAGGATTCAACAGGGAATTGGTCTTTTGGAGTGATAGACAGGCTTAGCAAATTGGGTATTATAGAGACATATTAACATACAAAAGCACGGATCTCTGGAGTGGAGATCTCTGGGAAATCCTTGACTTAGTCCAGAAGGAGCTCCATCCTTAAGAATGTATATCGAAGTATCAGAGTACATCTCTATGATCATTTTGTACTTTTACAATAGATGTCCTTACATTTTGCTCATTTTCTCTTCTCTTTTTCATATGGCTTGGCTATACACTACGTTCTGCCGTACTGGACTACACAGATGTCGTGATCTGCCATATGGCTATTTAAAGTAAAACGTGTTTATGGCAGTCAGATACACATGTTACAGAGCGCTGGCTTCCTGGGGCTGCTTAATTGGTTAATGACAGGCACGAAGAAGAAAGTGCATGACTCATCCTCACTGGGTGGGCAATCACTCAATTAGCTGCAGGTGTTGAAGGCTTTAAAAGCCTGTTAGTATGGCCTCAGTTGTGGGAAGATTGCGAGGAGGAGAAAGATCCCACATTTGTGGCACTAAGTAACCCAAATTGTGAAAGGAACAACCCAGGGCAGCTGCCAGAGAGAAGCTGGTCACTGGTTATCAAATGCAGGATAGGTACGGCCTGTCCCAACAGCCCCACCCTGCACATTTGCTCAACTCCAGAGCCTGGACACAGAAAGGCATTCAAGATTTGGATGCAATAAGGCACCACTGTCACAGAAAGAAAATTCCAGACACCAGTCACGATACCCCCAGCTAGTGTCAGTAACTCCAAAACTAGCAACTTATTTTATGCTTTAATATAGTTCTGCTGTTTTCTAAAGCTGTATACTAAAGGCTGTTGGATGCAAGCAAATATACTAGAATAATATAAAATAAGAAATAATATTAAGTTTGGTATTGAATAAAGAACAGGTTTCTATTACATTAAAATAACCCAAATCTTTTGTTGCAAAAACGTGAATTACAAAGCCCAAGCAAGTCTTAAAAGTTTATTGTTGCCTATGCCCATGAATCCTGTATTAACCAGCCTCCTAGAGACTCCATAGTGCATACTCTACCCTCCTAAGCTACACTGGCACTGGTCCCGACAGCCCAACCTCACACATTTGCTCAACTCCAGAGCCTGGACACAGAAAGCCATTCAAGATTTGGATGCAATAAGGCACCACTGTCACAGAAAGAAAATTCCAGACACCAGTCACGATACCCCCAGCTAGTGTCAGTAACTCCAAAACATACAGGGAAAAAAGTGGTTGTCGTTAGAAACTCTATGCTCTGAAAGACAGTTAGTGAAATTATAAATCACGGACATAGAGTCATCAATGGTATGCTATTTCACTGGAGCTGAGGTGACGTGATAGATACAGTGCTTTATTGTCCACTGCTGTGGAAATCTGTCTTCAGCTTCTCCCATAAAAGAACAAAACACACAAGCAAAGCATAAAAGCCACATAAAATCACATGAAATCACAAGAACTAATATCGTCCAAAGAATTGACAAGCTCCAAGCAAAGACAGGGCCAGTTGTTGTTCAAAATGGGACAAATAGCATTGCCAGTAATGGCATGCTGTCTATAGGATACCAATTCAAAGACTGCAACAACAAGCTGATTCTAATAAGTGGTTTTCATTTGCTCGGAGAGCATCAAGTCATTAACTTTTTTTTTTTAGGGATCCTGTCTGCAGCATGGAAAAGGAAACCAACTGTAAACAGCTCCTGGAGTGTAGACACTGAAAAATCTATTAAAAAAATAATTCTAAAATATAAACCATATGGCAAAGGTTATCTGCACGGATGTACATTAACAAATTACATGAGAGTGCGATGAGTATCAGCGGGCTTGTGGAAAGGATCTGCAGAGGAATTTAAATGGAATGGAAAGGGGGAGAAGCCAGAAAAGGCACAAAAAATGGGCAACAACATGTAAGAGATAGAGGTGTGATTTCGGTTGACTGCTAGACAATGGGTAGGCAATGGAAGTCTGAGGATATGTATTGGAATGGAACCACATGAGGCTCAAGAATGTCTTTGGTGCAGACTAAGGTCAATGCAGCTGCTCCAAGATCAGTCCTGCAGTACTGAGTTTGGCACAACCAGTCCAAAAATCCAAAAAGGTCAGGGCCCAGTCTTTTTCCTAACCAAGAGATTAGAGTGTGGCAGATCATCTGGGGAAGAATGCCATCGGCACGACACACCTGTAACCAGCCATCCACCACCCAGCTTGCTGCAGCTACAGAGAAACAGCTGGGCAACATCTCACTGCCACCTATTCAGAGGCTGGATGGTTTAGATACAGTATCAGCACTTCGGGGAGTGTGTTAATTCTATCTGTATCGCTGTACCACCTACTGATTTCATTTTGGCAGTGTGTTGTTATATTTTGCGCTGAAAAGTCAGCATGCTTCTGTAATATACGCTTGTTCACATTTTCTGCGATTCTTTCACATATCCCTGTTTCAAAGTTTGGATTACATCCGTTTGGATCTTGCTTTGGGTTTTGCGTATTAAGACGAAGCATGCAAATAAATGTGCTTTCGCAGTAAACAGTATAATTACAAAGAAGCTTGTCGTTTGAAAAATATTAAAGTAATATCATATTAATATAACAAAGAAGCCTGTGAACTTTTTGATTCTGATTTGAACATGAGGCAATGTCAAACTGGGAGTTTCTTTCTTCTTTTTTTCTTCCACCCTCTATTGCTTTTTCTCATCTGCTTTCTGTCTCAGTCAACAGAGACATTATGAAAGATTGTTCTTCAGGAGGGACGAGGGAGTGATTCACCATACTGCTCTTTCTCTCCTATCACTGTGTGAACTCCTTCACTCAGGAAATAAGAGAAGCCATGACCCAGAAGCACCGCTGTCACTCCAAACTCATCGGAACCCCTGGAGAACTCTGGAAAAATACAGGGTCAGCTTATTCCCAATACACTGTGCCAGAAAAACAGCCTTTTCCAAATAGTGGAAAGGCTTTGCAGTTTTCTCTGGGGGCTGTCTAAAATATAATCAGAATATCTCTAAAGAGAGCAAAGATGATTTTTTTCTCCTTGGCTTTTCTGGAAACTACTTGAGTGACTTATCCAGCCCCCTCCTCTGTCACTAAAGTTTAGAGAGACACCCTCTCTCACAGAAACAATGAATGCCAACACTGGCTTTATATCATTAAATGACCGCATTACAATTGTAGTGTTAGAATCCCAGTTTCCTCCTTTAACTCTTTAGGATATGACGTACTGCACATGCTCACAGATTACTCAGATTTTAAAAAATAGTATAAAATCGTTCAGACAAACCACATGATTTGCAATCTGTCACAGAGGTCAAAACTAAAACACTCATCCCCGATCTTCTTTTGTCCTCCTCTGTAGGCACTGTACATAAATGAATATTATAACTACCAAAGCCATTATGGTTCCAGTTTTCACTTTTATGAATTCGGTAATAAAGGATTAATAATTAATAGATAATGATTTTAAATAACAAAAATAACCCATAAGGTTCTGTTCGTGACCTCCTGCATGTCTTAAATACCATGACAACATTCCAACACAAGAACTGCACAATTAAGAAACAATATATACAAAACTCATAACTTTTAACCATCATTGGTGCAGACAACAATATGGTCGTGCAGTCATTCAGAATACCTCATAACAAAACAAACTTTTAGCCAGAAAGAAAAAGATTTTGAAAGTTAGATAAAAGTGATGGAAGACATCATCAATAACATGAGCGCTGACAAGCACTTTCTAGAGATATAGCTCAGTAACAGTGGTCTTGGTTCGTTTATGTAAAATTTTATTTTGTTATGTGTTTTTCAGCCATGTTGTACAGTGCGTACATAATGTTATTCAGTTAATTTAGTGTTTTTATAGCCACAATCAATTTTTACCCCATTAATGTATCTTTCATGTTCATACGGTATGAATATTGCAAAATGAGGAGATCAAAATGATGGTGGTGTTGCAGTTTTAGCTATCGTAGCAGTGAAACCTATGTAATAAAGTAACCAAATAAAGAAAATAATGTGAAGTTATAGAAAATTCTTGTGATCAGTAAGAGTGTAATGTTTTAAAAATGCTGCCAAACAACCATGCATGCAGAGTTTGAGAAAAATGTTCACTGTGCATCGCTTAAACCTTAAAATTCTAAAGGGAAAACAGTAAGAGGGTGTACATATACTGGAGACAGCAATAGTTCATTAAAATCAGTTAATAATGACAGTACAATATCTTTAATTTAAAAATGAAATGACTTATTTTGTAGCAGATGAGCAAAATGTACTGTGGTTTGTCATCAATAACTCACCCTTGATAGCATACTTATCTCGCAGTTATAAAACTGCACTCGGAAATCCCAAATTGACAGTGCTACTACAGCTGCCAAACTATCAGCATGTTGAAGACCTCAGGAAACTCTCCTGTGAGGCTTCCAAGAAGAAAGTTTCTCAAAACATCACCAGGCACTTTTCCACAACTCTTTCTGTTGTAGGGGTGGGTCTCTGTATCTATACAACCGAGCAAAGTTTGGGCTAATATCAATTGAATCTATTTTTACAGTATGATAATAATCCAAAACCTACTGCCGGTAGTCAAAAGGAATCTAAAAGACAGAGCAGAAGCTGATGTGTTGGAAGTGCTGATATGATAAAGTTCTGATGTGAATCAGATTGAACCAATTGGGGATTCAAACCCAAGTTTGAAGAAAGAAAATCTTGGAGACATTTTTACAATAAATTTAGCACAATATTCCCGGAACACTACTCCACGTATACAGTACACATAATTTAATGTACTGTATGTAGGAAAACCACATACAACTGTATTAAAAAAAAAACATTAAGCAACTTATTTTATGCTTTAATATAGTTCTGCTGTTTTCTAAAGCTGTGTACTAAAGGCTGTTGGATGCAAACAATTATACTAGAATAATATAAAATAAGAAATTATATTAAGTTTGGTATTGAATAAAGAACCATGCAAGAATGCCATGCAAGAATTCAAAATACTTTGCTGAACAAGTCTTAAGAGTTTATCGTTGCCTATACCCACGAATCCTGTATTAACCAGCCTCCTAGAGACTCCATAGTGCACACTCTACCCTCATAAGCTACATTGGCAGTGATCAGTGCTCAATTACAAACACCAGCTTGCATTCATAACTGAGCTGCAAGAGAATGCTGAAATAAATGAGGTTTCTATGCACCACAGTTTTGTTTTTTTTGCAAAGAGGACCAATACAGTACAACAAAACCATATGTATTTTCTTTCCATGTTCCACCTTAACCTTCTGCAACTGCACAGTCTGCATGGGCCTAAAGGTGGAATGCGATTTATAAAGCTCTAAATTGGCTGTACCGGAAGGGGTCAGTTCACCATAAAAGTCTGGCACTGAAAAATGGGCTTTATCAAAAAGCAAGTAAAAAAAAAAATGAAGAAATTCAATTCTAATATTCCTACAGTATGAGCAGCATGTTCATGAGACATACAGCAAGGACTAATGTTAAGTCCTCAGCCTGATTACAGTGATGGAGAATGAGGAAAGGAGAGAGGATATACCAGGGTAGATTCCCCTAGCCTGATCTCCCTAAGGAAAAGATTATCTGGAAACCTGTTCCAAATTAACTGCAGAGTTCAAAGAATCAGAACACTTTCTTGTTGAGTTACTGTACATATTCAAAGTTGTTGAACAAATCTTAGGCAACTATAATTTCATATGTATAGTACAGGGGTTTCGGTTTCCTTCAATATAATGTTTCAAACAGTTTCTCAATTATTTTGTCTGAGTTACATGATTGCATATGGCAAACTAAAAGTCCAACAGAAACTCCAATAACTACTCTGAAATTAGTTCTTTCAATAAGTAACACTAACCAGTTTGGAATTCAAACATCAAAAGCAATGCTGTTGAGGGAGGCTAGCACTTGACAGAATTAAGCTACTCTTGCCTTTACCAGAAACCTGGACTTGCGTCAGGGTTTGGTTTGTGCTGACCTCTGGATATGAGCCAGTTCACAGGCACTCGGGGTTGAATTCTTAAATGGGGCAATCAGACTGTTAGATGTTACTGAAAGAGCTTTTAGTAGCTAGCCTATTGTTTTAGAAATATACTGAATTCCCTCTTTGCTTTCAGTTCTGCCTCCCAAGATGACATTGAGTCAAATACGTCTAGGATGATTAAGAGAAAAAAAAGGTTTTGTAGGTTTTGAGAATTTTAGGCAGTATTTGTTACTGGAGTTCCTTTATATCCTGAGCCCAGGAAGATCATTAGATAGGTATTTCCGCAGAATGCAAAGATTAAAAAACAAGCCAATTCGTGACATTCAGCAATGGATTTAGCACATTTGATGTCAATAGTTCTTAAACCATTCAGCTAGTCCCATCATTCAGTCTGTTTTTCTCTAATTTGCTGCAAGATCTTATACCAGCCTGTGTTATATGAAGCAAGATGGGCAGCAAAAGTAAGAAAAAAACCCCAGTAATATCAAGTACTGCAGTTAAATAATACATTGGTTTTACAACACGGAAACTATGAATAAGCTTGAGTAAAATCGAGTCTTCTGTGGAATGTGGAATGACAGCAGCTGGTTTAAATCAGGCCAGTAATGTGCGGCTGGCACATGTGGTTCATGTGGTCAGACTGGTTCTACCAAACAAATGCATTAGGAGAGCCTCAGAAATAGAAAACACTAAATATAAAACAAATTCCCCAAAAGCTTCAAAACCAGAGGAAGTATGCAGTGCAGTGGTGAAATATATATTTTTTTCTCATTAAACCCTGGAAGTAAAAACTGTTTGGAAGAGGACGACAGTGACTAATTCAGCTTTTTGGAGGAGTAATGTATCAAATAAACATTGATGTTACCGAAGAGCACTTTGAGGCCAAACTGTGTTGAATCTTCTCTTCCGTCGGTTTTCTAACCTCTTTATCCAATTCAGGGTCACAGGGAGCCGGAGTCTATCCCAGCAAGCAACGGGCACAAGGCAGGATACACCCTGGATGGGACGCCAGTCCATCACAGGACACACACAGATTCTAGGGCCAATTTTCCCAGCAGCCAATTAACTTAAGAGTATGCAAAGGAACAGGTAAAGGTTTATTCCATGCTGAAAAGAGAAGAAAAGAACCAAAACGTTTCGCCTGCGGACCTGAAGACCCTACCCGAAGAAGGTTCCACAGCCGAAACGTTGTGCTTCTTTTCTTCTCTTTACTTGCTCCTTTGCAGTCTATGCATACTGACACAGCAACCTACTTGGACTGAGTACGTCTTTGGACTGTGGGAGGAAGCCAGAGCACCTTAAGGAAACCCATGCCAACCTGGGGAGAACATGCAAACTCCACACAGACTGCCCCCCCAGCTCCAGAACTGAACCCAGGGCCCCAGCAAACCACTGTACCACCATGGCACCCCAGTTGAATCTTCCCACTGTATAAAATTTAACATTTAAATTTAAATTAAAAAAAGATAAGAAAAACAAGGCTTTCTCCTACCTCAAGCCTTAATCAAAAGGTTGGCTGGAACATTATCTGAAAGTTCCTGACCAACTTTCAGTCCCTCCAGATAAATGTTCTGTATTAGGTTTACCTTTTAAGAAGTCCTTTTATCTTTTCATTATCTGGTAAAATAAAGGCTTCTCAAATTAAGTGAGTTTTTTTCTTACAATTTTAATCATTTTGACGTTCAGCGTTTAAGGGATTCAGCTCAGGCCTTTGGACAAACAAATGTTGTTGTTTTTTGCATGTTGTTCATGGCATATCATGAAATGACTCAGAGTTTCCAAAGTATGACAGAAATGAAGATGACGAGATCGCAAACTCCTTCCTCAGCACTGGGCGTTCCTATGGTACAGCTGAGCAATGTGATGGAAAGGGAAAAGTATCTTACCTGCAAACTGTTACTTCCTTGTCATACTGGGACAGAGTAGGCGCGTTGCCCGGTTTGAAATGGCTGACATTGAAGTATGACAGGGTGTGGTCAATGAAGCCATGCATGGTGCCCGTCTCACTGTACATGTACTGGTAGACCAAGCGAGGGATGAAATCGGAGGTGAAGGAGATGACGAAGGCCTAGAAGAAATACAGCAGCCACATTTCCACAGAATTCTTTTAGTCATGAACTTCAGACTCTCAGTATGGAGAGTATTCTTTATTCTGATTTACCTCACACCTTTTAATCCTCTACGCATTTTCTGCTAATTCTGATATAAATATGCCATTGTGCATATACTCGAACACCAGATTTAATTTCTGGGTGTTTTTGTATCTTCATAAAAAGTGAAGAATGTAGAATTACAAGCTGGTATACAGTACAGTAGATGTGTTGCTCATAACGTGTAAGTAATATAATTTGAAGCACCTGGTGACTGTGTTTACCATAGAGGGTTATAGAGACATATAACAGGATTTCAAGACCAAATGCTGAACCTTCTCCTTTCACCTGTTATTTTTACTTCAGTCTCACGTTCATCTACAGTACACCCTTACTGCTAAATAAAAGCAAAATAAATAGGATGATTTTGTAGGACTTGGTTGGAAAAGTACATCATTGACTTCTTTTTCTTCAGTGCTTTAAATCTGCCTGTCATACACATACAGTAATTGTATGGAAAACAGTTTTCCATCCCTTATCCAGAGGCTAACAGTGATCTGAAGAAACACTGATTTCAAAGTCAATACTGCTAACTGGTATTCAATAACCTGGCTTGGCCATAGCCTCTACATAAGGCCTTGAAGTGAGGAGATTACAATAAAACACACCTCGTTCTTTGCTTCCTTCTAGATGATGTTTGAAACTACATGCTGGTACTAAGCAGCTTCCTTTGTCCACCTTGGGGTGTCTGTCTTTTTGATGTCACTCGAAAAACTGACTCTTATAATTAACACTTTCAGGTTAATTATTAAATCACTGGCAAACTCTGAAAGAGAGCCTTAAAAGAGCCATTGCCAAGATTTTACCTGTCTTTCTGTAATGTACGTAGGACCATTATAGTCAGGATAACTGTGACAAAACATAGGATTACTGCAAGAAAAGCTCTTAGTGCAAGAAAAAGTATTAACCTAGAAAAGCCTGATACTAGGAGACATTTTTGTTCAATTGAGGCCCTTGATGCCATGATGAAAGGCACTATTATAATGTAATTATACTTGTAATAACAACTGCAATTGTTGTAACTATAATATAACAACAAATGCTGCTGTTGATATGATAGAAAGTAACAGGGACATCAATTGACGGCAGGCAGATGATCACTTACATTTATAATGACAGAGAACTTGCCCATGCCACTGAGAATGTTGTACCAGATCCCTGAAGAGGACAGAAGAGATAAGAAGAATATGTCAGATATATCAAGAGGTTCATGTTATAACACACCTGTCATTCACAGCCACCAGATTCATATTACGTTTTTAACTCTGAAGAGGGTAGTAGGTATTTTGGAGCCATAACCAAATCTTTTCCATACCCAACCATTGGGTGAATATAAAGATCAATACAGCATATTTGCGGAGATGAACTGCTAATAATTAACCACCAGGATGTAGTGTTTAAAATTTCATACTATTCATTTGGTGTCAGATATCAACAGGTTAGTCCTTCAGATTGTGACAGTACATAAAGTATACTGTACAATACACTGAGATTAATCAAGAAAAGCCCTTTTACCAGAATCACAAAAGACACTGATCCAGAGATAGTGATGACTCTTTTGGAAGGTTTTGGCTCAGCTCACATAACCCATACTGTATGCCCACCATCAAGACTGATACGGAGTAAGAGCACCCCAGTTCTCTGATGACTTGGGGAATCAGTGGAGACGCAGCGCACTGAACACGTGTGGGATGTCCTTGCCTGATCCCACATGAGTGTCGTGTGAAACCTTCCTAGGGCTTTTCTCTAACGGGTCCAGTGCATTAGTCTGCGGTCCCTTTCGCAAGGAATGCTGCTCTCCAACACAGAAAGTATAAGAGCAAGACAGGTCTTCAGGTGCCAGAGGGTGATACTGTTTAATACTATCCTCATTCACATCTTGCCAGTGGTCTATCTTCTGTACCTTGCATTTCCTAACTCACTGCTTTAGCAATTAACACTAATTGGTTCTACTTAAATATAATGGTGAGATGTGATTATTCAAAAACCTCAGTTCAGGAGAACTGGAGTTTCCAAGAGCCCAGTAGGATTTGGCACTTAAAGTGATGAACACAGAGTTCACTTGTGGAGGACTATTTATTTGAGCAAAACTGCTTTACTTTTTCCCAGGCAGCGAATCCAGGCTACTTCAGTGTTTGTTAACGTTAGAAATCGAGTGGGGAAGGTTGGCTGCAATATACTGGACTCTGGAATCCGATTAGAAATTAGTTTTTATGTGTTGTGAATTGCCTGTGACTTCGTGGAATAAATCTTTGCCTTTTAAGATACTGGAAGGCTTGCTGATTTCTTCACCACCACATTGTTCACTGGAAATTAAATTGAATACTAAAATTTTAACAGTGGAAATATGGGTTACCTGAAGAATCAAAAATCTTGGAGTCGTATAAAGAAGCCAGTAGGATTTGGCACTTAAAGTGACGACGAATGCAAATTCCATTCAAAAGAAAGGGCTCATTATTTGAAAACAAGCATGCAATTTAAATAAATACTACGACCACTAATAATAAATTAGTTGCCGTGTCAGGCTGTCAAAAGAGAAACGGTTTGTTCAAAGTCTTAACTTCTGGCCAAACACAATCCATCAGTGTTTCAATATACTGTAGTAGGGTCTTGACATCTGCAAATTTAACAGTAATAATTCCTTACACTTATACAGCACTTTTCTGGAAACTAATGTACACTCAGAGTGCTTTCTCAAAGTGCTTTCGCAGGTAATGGAGACTCTCCTCCACCACCATCAATGTGTAACCCCCACTTGGATGATGCTATGGCAGCCAAAATGCACTAGTACGCTCACCACACATCAGTGGGGAGGAGAGCAGAGTGATGAAGCCAGTTCACTGAAGGGCTCTTGTGTAATTTACAGTCGTTTCCTGTGACAATAGGCTTCAGAGTTCCTTGTTCAGAGATTGTGATGTGAGTGAGAAAGGATATAAATCATTGCAGAGCAATTAGATAAACCCAAACAATGCGACATACCAATATCCTTTGCTCGCACAGCGTCAGGCCTCCGGAGCTCCGTGACGAACTTTTTGGCATCGAGGCGGATCTCTATGATGTTGTTCAAGAGGGCGAAGAGAGGAGCCAAGGGGAACGAGGCGACGAAGAGGGAGACAAATCCGAACTGGATAACTGGACACAAAGGAGAGAATCGGAGGTTAAACTTCTTTCCAAAGAAAACCAAGTGCTCTCTATGAAGGTGTTAAAGGGCACATTGGGAGATGATCAACGGTATATCAATAACAGATCCATCTGAAAATGTCATGTTTTACTGATAGTATTCATATTTATCCTCCGGATATAGCAATAACTGTCAGTTTTGTTCAATCGTGCCCATTTCCAAGGACAGTGGATCGTGCTCTCTTGAAACAAACATGCATCTACTCAACTGAAGCAAGGCGGAGCCCAGTTTACAACAGCATGCTGAAAGATTACATGCTGTCCTGAAGATCATTCACCACAAACTGCACCCACCCATTTATTCACCCATCCACTCTTAAGACACTCATTCCTGGTGAGAAGCACAGGGCGCAAAGTGAGACCGCAAAACATGATACAATTATACAAAGCCACAGAAAATGTATGAACTTTGGAGCACCAAAAAAATCGCTGTTTTGATATATCCTAGATTGTATCTTAATATACCCCTAGAAATGTTATAGTTACACACAGTCACACAGTTATAGTGTGTGAATGTTTTGCTGATACTTTTGGCACCTAAGTAAAGAAAAGTGCTTCTATTTTAATTCCTAAATGTTTAAAGCTGGGCTCCACCACGTCTTAAACCATTTCAGAAAACTGAGGCTGGCAGCTGCTCTGAGAAACAAATTTCTGAACTGACCTTTGGAGGCAGCTGTAAGAAATAACCACAAAAAAAGTAATTGTTACTGTTATTAACATCTTATTTATAGGAGTGAAACAATAGCACCACATTATTTTTGATGCTTTGTTACTTTGCTTGTTGTTGTTCATTTTGCATATGCCTTAAAAATAATGCAAAATGAAAATGCAAGTGTAGTCAGTTTTACTAAGAATTTGCGTGGAGTATTGAAATCTCTCATTCATCACTGCCTATACATTTAACAAATATTTTAAACCCTCCTTTTTGTAGAATAGCTAAATGCAAGAGGAAAATCACTTCAAAAGTCATGTGTAGTCCTATTTGAAAGGATACGGTTAATGGTCTTAATTCTGCTATTCAACAGCATTTAATCCATCTCTTTATTCATTTTCTTACTGTGTTATCCAAATCAAGGTTGCAGGGGGAGCCGGAGTCTATCCCAGCAAGCAATGGGCACAAGGCAGGATACTCCCTGGCTTAGACCCACGTCCATAACAGAGCACAGGCACAAACACACATTTTCACACAAGGGCCATTTTTCCCAGAAGCCAATTAACCTACCAGTACTGTATGTCTTCAGACTGTGGGAGGAAACTGGAGCACACAGAGGAAACCCACATAAGCATTGTGAGAACTTGCAACACAGCGAGACAGCAACGCTAACCACTGTGCCACTTAAACAGCATTTTCTGCTGTTTTTAATGTAAAAATATAATAAATAAAAATAATAAAGTAATTCATTTTGTCACGAACAGACTGAACATTTTCAGCTCTATACTAAGTACTCTCCAATACTTTACTGCTGTAAATGTTATTTTCCAAAATAAGACAGAAGGAATGAATGAGAAAGGTATAATATTATAGTTTGATTACATATTTTTAATGGTTGATAGGGAAGTGGCGAACAAATCCTTTGTTCTGGAACAGAAAATACATATCCACTCTGCTTCTATTGTGTGTCTAGTGCGAAAATCGAAGATTACAATAGGGAATGTTAAAAAAAAA